TTTCCTTTCCTTTCCTTTCCTTTCCTTTCCTTTCCTTTCCTTTCCTTTCCTTTCCTTTCCTTTCCTTTCCTTTCCTTTCCTTTCCTTTCCTTTCCCTTCCTTTCCCTTCCTTTCCTTCCCTTCTTTGGGTGCTCTATCCTCCCCGCCGAGCGCCCTCTCCACCAGCCGCCTGACACGTCTCGTTCCTTTAATTTAATTTATATAAAAATATATATAAATAATAATTTTAAAATAGAAATCATTATATATAATATATAAAAAATAGATTTCCCCCTCTTTAACTTTTTTTTGACTATTCGGAGAAAGAAGGGAAATAATCGATCCGGCAACGCGTTCGCTCCGTTTCTATCCGTTCAATTCTGCGTTTTTATTTTCAGCGCCCGCTCCGCGCCCCCCCGCGGCCCCCTGCGCCCCCCGCCCCCCAGCGCTCTCCCTTCCCCGCCGCAAACCTGCGCTGCCGCGGGAGGGCCGCGCCCGCGGAGCCACCCGGAGCATTTCGCTCCAGCCAAGTGGAAAATAGACTTTAAACCCTCTTTGTGCGGGAGGGGAAGGAACAACCCCCCCCCCGCCCCGGCCCTCCTCCTCCTCCTCCGCGGGGTTAACAAAACTCAAACCCAGTTACGGGCTGGGGGGGAAGCGGCGGAGCAGAGGCCAAACTGCGGAGTGAACTCGGGACGGGCCCTTGCGCGGCCGCGTCCCTCACCGCGGCGTCGGGTGCCGGCGGCAAAACCGCCCCCAAAGCGGGAGTTTGGCATTTCTTTTCATTTTTTTAATTATTATTATTGTTATTCTTTTCTCTTTCGGGTCTATTCGGGGCCGGGGAAGGCCGGGGCTTTGCTCGGCGGGCGGCGCTGGCGGCGGCGGGGGCGTCGCGCACTTTGCGCCGCCGCGGCCCCCGGCTGCGCAGCGAGGGAACGAGGTGGCGGCGGGAGAGGCCGGGCTCCCCCCGACCCCAATCCCAGCCGCTCCCGCCAGCTCCCGAGCGGGAGAATTAATTTTTTTTAGGAGAAATAATTGAAAAAATAAATAAATAAATAAATAAATAAATAAATAAATAAGTCCTTGCTCCGCGGGGGAGCGCGCAGGAGCGGGAGGAGGAGGAGGAGGAAGAGGAGGAAGAGGAGGGGGACCCACAACCGCGCACGGAGGAGCATCCCAAGGCGGCGGGCGCTTCTCCGGGCAGCGGCGGCTCCAGTCCGGCTTTTCGGGAGCTCTCGCGGCGCCGCGGCCCCCCCGGCGCCCCCCTGCGCGCCCCCCCGCGCCCTCCCCGCCGC